CCTTTTTTTCCTGCAGCCCCGCCTATGAGATCCGAGTCACGTTGTCCCCCGATATGTATTACGACCTCTGTGTCACAAGTGCTTGGCCTTTGGTAAGAGCCCCCCCCACAAGAACAAACCAGGATGCATATGTTTCTCTGCGTACACGTTACATTCATGGTAACGTCCAGATCTAGGTTCTTACAGTGATCCCGTCATTGTCTTGAAGAAATGCTCAAAACGATGCGGTCAACAATGCCTGCATTCGTGAAGAGAACAGACGTTCAACAGGCAATCACATGCGAGCCAAAGACAAATGGCTCCAACTTGTAGCGAAGCATGGGCTGCAGTGTGTCTGCCCGTGGTTCTCCATGTTCTGGGCTCTCGTGCTGGATGCCAAAGTTCGGTAAAATACACCGTTGGATCACGGAACTGCGGGTATGTTAGAAGGGCCACTTCGGACTCACGGTCTGCTACATAAATAGTCTCCCCACGTGAACGACAAAAGAAAGCTAGAAGACCATTGGCACCAGGTAAGATCTATGGTTTTTCACACGCATCGCACAAGACACCGTCGGTACCATTGCATTGTGGCACCAACATTGCTTCCAGTACATGTACATGTACATGGATATTCGGTGCTGCACTGTGCGCTTGTTGGAGGTTCGTCCGGAACCCAGCTCTTTCAACCCCCCGGGGCTGGAGACTGACTGGTCAATGATTGTGGCCACGGTAATGGCACAACATGTATAGTCTTTCATGTGATGTGATCAAAGCCCATACGATGACCACAAACCTGTCCATTAAAACATATCGTGATTAACAAATGAAAACGGTTAAAACATGGGGTCTACGCAGGTCGTAAGGCACGAACTCTGGGTCTACAAGAACTACATGTAATCTTAAAAACAGAGGAACTTGTCAAAGTTTCTACAAGCCTCGCAACAAAAAGTGGCAGAGGAACTTCCAAATGATACTGCAGAGGGTGCCAATCATACATACAACCGGGACATGCAAACATAACCGACTGATCTAAAGTAAACCTCCTGCAATCACAACTCTGATTAAAAAAAATCCTTTGGCGTCGACTTTTTTGGAACACTACCTTCATTCATGTCCCCGATGGTAAGCTCTTGAATCGTGTAGCAGAATAAAGGTGGTGCAAATGCTTTGCAA